TTCTCTCGCCACAAAGAACGCATTTGCGATATCGTTTGCCCAGCCAATATTCATAATCCTTCCTCTTCGCTTTGATCGCACTCGCTGCGACGGCATAATGATGTGGTTGAATGGTATAAAACCCTCAGACGTAGTAAATCTTTCTGTATTTCCAAACTTCCAAGTGGAAAATTTTCGTCTGACAGATCATTTTTCATTTAATCATATTTCTAACGTCAACTGTTCTATCTGGTGAAATTATAAATGGAATTATCTATTAGTACGATAAAGTTTGACGCAAAATATCTGTCAGAGGAAACTAACTGGACTGCGAAATTTGATTTACGTTAAAGATCGTTTTTAAATAAATTCAAACGCTTTGCCGCATGCAGTGCCCGTTAACGTCGGCAATATGGATGATATGAATATTATTATACCATGGCGATCGAACCAGTTAAGAACGAAATTCAATTATCGCGGCTGGCTTCGTGAAGCGAACGAGAAAACCGATGGCGCAGCGGCATGCAGTTTTACGAATGCGGCCGAAAGTGCAACGAACCTGCGGCAGCACTCCTGCAGCCACGTATACCGACAGACGGGACCGACGACCCGATCGATCGAGACCACTCGATTACCGGTGCGGACGAGCTTCTTTCGCATATGTTAATAATCATTGTTTGGAGAGGTTTATGTTCGAAAATTTTGCGCAGGTGGTCGTTGACGATGTGCAGAAAATGCGAAACATCGGCAAATATTCGACGCGTCGATTCGTCTTGCTTACATTTAATTATTGCATTTTCGTTATATCTCCGATAGACTTTGAAAATGGGCCAAGGAGAATAAAGTTGACGACGAACCATATGCATTGCTATTAAACGGAACGGAATGAATATATTACAATAATAAATCTGATTAATGAATCCAGGTTTCGTCTGACAGCCAAGAAATTATAATTTCCTTGGTTAAAATATTCGTATCGATATTTCATGACCATGACCGGTGCTCTCTCGGTGCACACAACATCGAGTTATATTATACGCAACCACGATCTGCTAACGAATTTTACGATAAGGCCGTCGGTAGACTTCGGTAAATATTGTAGCATAAACATGGGAAATACATATTTAATCGTATTTTATATGTAAATTATGATATGTTTTGTATGTAATGGGCAGTACGGTATTTATGGCACGTGATATTTTAGAAATTATTTAACCATGGAAAGCAGTGTAAAATTCGATGGTAAAATCATTTGAATACAAAAGTTACCATTTGGACAATTGAATAGTCAATGACTCTCTGGGGTTTCGGATATCATAGACTGAACGCATAGTAAAATGAATCGAACCATATCCGAGATACCAACAACAAGAGAAACTCATATGTGAATTATTCATAGCGAGTCGAGGAATTCCAATCTCACAGCTTCGTGAATTGGCTTTAACGATAAATCGACTAGAATAAATTTTTTACAACAGCTGATGCATTCTGCAACGATTGCTAAATTTTCTTTAAAAGATGCCAAAAATTCTTTTCCATCCTTGTATATGTATGTGAGACTGCGTTTGAGAAAACGCTTGTAACTGAAGGAGTTAAGGATTGAGAATGAAATGTGAAAAATAATTAAGGCACGTTTAAAAATGTTAGAGAAATATGAGCAATCGAGATCAACGATCGTGTTCAACTTTGCCGCCGAATTTCTCATCAAAAGCCGCTCCCATTTCCTGCGATTCCACGTCGGAACGGACGACGACTGACGAAATTCTCTGTCTCTAATCAACCGCTCTTGATTTGTATGTGTATACATCTAAATCTAATATCGGTTACCTTGACACAGTGACACGAATGTAAGCAGTGCCAGACCGCTCCGGTCTGACCCAGTTTTGATATCCACTACTTACTGGTCCTTATTTCGCCGTTCCGCATGCGTTACCCTTACATTCTTCATTCTCAAAAGACACAATGCGCTCTCGCGCACTTGCAGCAATTCACGTGCTCGCTATCATGGAATATAACTCTGGCAACGATTCGACGTCTCTAAAAGCCCGCGCTTAAGATTTTAGCAACATTTCGTTCGAAAACAAAAAAAATAATTAATTAATTAATTAATTAATTACTGTATCAGCATTTGTGTATTGATTATAGCAAATTGTATAGTATACGGAAGTAAACGGACACTAAATTATATGAACGTTTCTTAATTGTTTGTCGTAAAATAAATGCGACGTAGAAAATTGTGTCAATTTCAATCTGTTTCGATGAAAACGAGACTATTTTTAATCAACGGCTCTTGAACCGGAACTCCGACACTTAGATATCTGTTGCTTCAAACAAGACCTTGACAGGAGTAACGTTTGACGACTGGTAAGTGGATCGATGAATCTTCGTGGGCTCCAATTGAATACAGGATACTAAAGTGACTTATTGACCCCCTTTTTCCCTCTTCGTCGAAACAGGTTTCATAGAAACGAAGAGTGGAGAATCAGAGAATCTTTTTTTCTTCCTCTGCAGCTCCAGGCTGAAATCTTACACGCCACTAATTGCTACCATTGTCTCTGATGGGTAAGAGCGAAGCACTGGTAGCAAACTGCGACCATCCTCTTCTTTTCTACTAAATCCTACCCTACCGTTCTTCCACCCTCGCCTCTCTACTTTTTCGCCGAAAATCTCGGTTAGTTGCCACGCGTGTTAGACCGTAGCCGCACATTCACAGCCGCTCCGTCGCTCGCACAGTTAAATTTAGAACGTAACGGTTATGTGTTCTTCCTTTAAAGAATAGGAAGATCTAATTCAATTATGGAACAATTTTAGAAATAATGTGATCGAACATTCACTTCGGTTAATAAATATTAAACTATTCTGATGAATGAGTTTACAGTGAAAATCCGCAAGAACTTTCTGCAGTACGTAACTAGGATATGGAATGAAAGGATGAAAATCCCCGAGTAGAATTTCCCGTCGACGGAAATACTTGTTAAAGTATCGCATTTAGAAATATCGCGGACATGTGTATGGTCGCTTCCCGAGTTAGACCGTGTGTATCGTGGTACTTCAAAAGCGGATTGCTTCTTCGCTTCGAAGGGGAAACCATCCGGGTTGCCGATGTTCGTTGAATGCCCTTCCAAGTATCTGAGCAAAGTTCACCGACTCCGCAGGCTTGGCCTATTTTTTCAGACACACGCTGTGGTGCTCTTCCTTCGCTCCCTCCCCTCACAGCTCCCTTTCTACCGGGTTCTCACTTTTATTTTTGAGAGAAGTTGCGTACATGCCTATCTACACCTGAGTTAAGCCGCGCGTACTTCCTGTCGAAATGTCTCAGATAAAAGGAGAATCGTTTCGCTGCGCGCGAAAAATTGGACGATCTAACGGTACTTTATCCAGATAAATGTTTGCATTTTTCGGTGTTCGCGACGCGAGAAGATAATGTCATAATTCCTTTCCCAAGACGCACACTTCGATTCAAAATATCACTGGCTGAACAATCACTGAATTACTTAGCCTCGCAGTATCGCTGGTCTGATTTCTCTATCAGAAAATAATCTATAGAAAGCGGATAAGCCGCAGCATATCCGGTCGTCTCTTCAACCGTCCATTCTTGTTCGAAGCAGACTTCGTATGCGGCGTTAAAGGCACTCGCGTAAGGGCTCTCCATTATATTCTTTGGCCTACAGACTATGTAATGCACGCGTATGTATGCGCACATAACACATACATAGGTTGTATAATACCGACTTGATCAAATGAATGTATTAAACTCGAATGAACAAGTGAAACTTGGATTGTCTATAAGTTTACAATAAATAAGACTGGCTATACCGCAACTAAATTAAAAAAGCAAGAATTTTAGTTGTTGATAAATTTGCAGTGCGTAATGTAGACAGATAGGATATGGACATTTAGTAGAAATTCTTTAAAATGCCGTTTTGTCTATCCCGATCCGATTTCCCGTACCCGAGATATCGTCGATTAAAGAGAATTTTTTCCTGCCGCGCTGTCATTTTGTCCTCCCCGCAGCTTGGATCTGTCTCACCCCCTCTCTCTCTCTCTCTCTCTCTCTCGCTCTCGTACCTTGACCCAGTTACTGACCTGTTTCAACTCCGTCTTGACACCTGCTACGCAGTTCCAGGAAATAACCGTTTAATTGTAGGCAAGCCTGCACCGAAGAAGAAGGGCAGGGATTCCCGGAAGCAATCTGGATTAGGCGTGCGCGGAAATCCTAAACGCTGCACCTAAACGGTGAAACTTTGTAAGCTGATAATGCCCGGAACGGATTGAGATATTGAAATGAACTAAAAATGATGTTTATCGTCACGATTTCCCCTACCGAATAAATGTACTTGGAATAAAAAATTCAGAGTCGTTTTGCCGGTATATCTTCAGAACGGATCGAAACATCGAAAAGAGTCAAACGGCATTCTTGTCGATCTGATTACTTCTACTCATCTAATCTTCATTGTTAAGGAGTTCCATTTAAATTAAAGTCGGATAGCAGTAGCACATCGATAAGTACGATGTGGAACGTGGGTGTTCATACTTATACCTTCGTACCGGAGGCAATCACGTCGAAAATCGAGATCAGAGTCCCTTCACGAGGGTGACTCATATGTAGGTGAAGCCGGCATCACGTGACACGTTGGTCGGAGATTAGTTTTGTAACGAATCTTAAAAATCCTTTCATCTCTACGACAAAGGTATTAATCGAGGGAACCTTCCTCAAGGGGAGATTTTATACTTTATAAGGGAGTACTGCCTCGTTAACTTCTACCGACATTTCCAGCTATCATTTACCACCCTAATCGTCCCACTTATTCTAATGTATCTCGAGCATTAACATAAAAGAGAATCAGTGTCTTTAAAGGAACAGTGTCAGCGGTACGTATACGTGGGCAGGCAGACACAGTTCATAAACTCGAGCAAATATACGGGATAGGCAGAAGTAAAGATCGTTAATCCACGGGTAATCTTGGTTCTGTAACTGTAATCGGATCATGCTCTCCATGGATTTATTCCGTGTGTTTCAGGCTCGGCGGCTTGATTGGATTTGCGGTCGGGCCTGGATTTGGTATTAAGAAGGATGGGTTGGACACTCACCGCTCTTGGGGTGGCTTTGGTCATTGTCATCATCGCTGGCGCCGCCCTGGCACTCTGCAGAAGGTGACTGCACCAAGATTTTAACGATCCCGTTCATTAAAAGCAAACGTGTTCCATTGTCCCCGTTTGTACCCGTCGTACATTTTATATCATTAACAATTCTGTAAGAGCATGTACGAATGTACGAATGTACGAATTTAGGGATTGATAAAAGACTTGTTTAATATTTAATACTAATTGTGAGTAAATTAATTTCATTAGGCTCCATTTAATAATTGTAAAATTGTAAACTGATGAAAACATCAGATATTATCAGAACACAAGATAAGGATCTTTTTACGTTAAACGGAGCTCTCTTGTTTCGGTATTTTCTCGCATTACATAACAGGTACACTCGTGAAGACTGGTAAATGCAATACGTGCAACAGGTTAAAGGGTCATTCAGCTACCAATTGTATCAGACACTTCTTATCTGCCCTTTCCCGTAGCCGAGTTTATTCTTTCGAGTAAAAAGACAAGCTCGGGCAGAAATGAAGGAACCTTAGGTCTAGCTGCAAGCGACGACGCCCGCTTTTGAATTCGTTAAAGCCTAGCAAGAATGACGCTTGAATCTGAGAAACTGTAATAATCGCAATCACGAATGAAACCTCGTACACAGGTACTCAACCTTCGTTCAGTCAAGTTCTGTTAAATATTCTATTTATTCTTGGTTTTAATTTCGATGAATAAAAACATGGAGGTTCCTATAAGAAAATCTAAATACTATGTGAAAACGAGAACGTGACAATTGGAATTTATAACACCGTGCTGGCCGGCATGTATCTGCATGGCCGCCTAGGGTTCTGGTATATGAAATAAATATCATTCAATGATGCGGAGCGTAAATTTTAAACAATAAAGAGCGCATGCTAAGCTTCTATCACACAGGACTACGACTAAACGACTGCTGTTAGCTGAGAGTGTGGCAAAAATTTTATTTTACCTTTCCCATCACGCTTACTAAAATTGATTTTCTCACGCTGACCCCTTTGAAAGCGGATCTCTATTACTTAATAATAGCATGTTCACGCGTACCTACCAGTACGCTATTGCGCTATTAGGTTAACGTCGGTCGAATGCTCTATGCGACCAAACACTTTTCCCATCGTACCGAACGAAAAACAAAAAGAGCTAACTATAGTCGGATAGCTGCGCGATGATTTTCATCGTATAATCTAGCGCAGACGAGAAACCGACGCCCGGCCCCACTAACCGCGTTTAAACATCAATATTTTCAATGATCGACCATCGTGACCCAATGGTCTACTTCCGTTGTCCGAAAAGTTTTTCCGTATCAACGCGATCATCGGTTCTGATCGCAAAAGCTCACAGAAACTTAAACCCGAACGTCCAATGGAAATTATTTATAATTCAATTGCTAGATACTGTGTCGGCTGGCAATGGGGCACCAGAAACGTTTGGAACGTCTGCGAGGAGTGGCGGCAAAGGCTGTCGTGGTTGTGGGCACCGCGAGAAGAGAAGGTGAGAGAAGGCAACCGACACTTGTCAACAAAATTAATACCAAAGATTTGCATATCGTTTCGTGGTACATCGTATTTCAATCGTTACGGAACGTTCGTCCGATTTTTCCAGGTCGGTTTGGTAAAAGCGCAACACCCAACGGCCCAGACGATACCCGGCCTGTATCGGCAGCCTGGGAACGCGTCTCAACATCTGCTCCATAGCGACAGTGATCTCAGGCTGGATGCACAAGGAGCTTTTACCAGGTACGCTATCTCACCGCGAAACGACGGTGTTATCGCTTATCGTTATATTGGATAATTCGCTGCAACTCGATTTAATTATAATACGCTGGCGATGTATTGAATAACAAACTAACAAACAAACTAATTATTGACGATGGCCAAGAGTTTTTTATACAGAAGTTGTAGGCACTGACATCCTTTATAAGAAAGATTCTATGCATTTTTCTTTTAATTTCAGTATTTAACGAGTTAAGTATGATTATATGGCATTTTATTGATGTTGACAAAATCCGACCATTCCACCGTCGAAACGGCGAGCTTTTGGAAAAAAATTT